AATCTTCGACCTGACATTCATTATGATGGCTAGACTCATTTATTAATTGAATCTCTGGATCATTACAATATCCCACCGTAGGAAATAACGAGAAAATAAACAGATCTATACAAAATGCCCTCAGTTTAGCCTATGCTACAATTGCAAACTTGAATTTATTACAATATTCCAAATCTACTTCTGGCTAGAAATCATCCCTGAATTTATTTATGTTGTATATATATACGCAGTTCACGTGGCATTATTTATTGGAATTTATATACATCGCATGTGGCATCAGATAATTCGTAAGGTGCTCGTCCAAAGAAGTCCGAACTGATAAACCGAAGAAATATAAAAAAAAAATAAGGAATATTCCTCAACTGAAAGAAGATGAGTACGAAAGCGAGAAATTTAGAAGAGATGCAACTTATGCCATTGGTTCTCCGAAGAAAGTGTACGTAACCGTCAGAATAATGGACGAAGAACCCACTCCACTACAGTTGTCTCGCCTACTGAATCGCACGTGTTATTAGTGCGAATCGTTGAGCCAGTGTCTCCTGAGAGCGACGACATGACGACAACGGGATGACCGAGACGAATGACGAGAAGATATCTGCTATGAGGAACTTGTTCTAATTTGTCTCCCATCGCGTTTTGCCGTTGATACTTTTCTATTCACTCTATGCTCATCAGTTTCAGTCTTCAACGTTGACGCTTCTTTATTCACTCTACTATCACGGGCTCCGCGTTTTGACGTTGATCCTCTTCTATCCACTTTACTATTGTCAGCTTCATAGGTTCCCGGGACGGCTCCGGAATGGTTGAGCTCGATTTAGATAGTTCGGTATTGGAATGTGGTACTGTGGGAGACTGTGTCCGTGTCTCTTGAGAAGTGTCGTATACATCGGGGACGACTGGGACATCCGATAAATCACGAGTATCCGTTTTGTATGACGCCTACTATTCCTTAGATCATGCAATCGTTTTATTTCAGTTGACCTCCCTCTTCGATCATCATCTTCTTCTTCCGTCTCCTGACTCGCGCGGACCTCCTCCATATTTACAACGACACTCGAGAACGGCATATACTCACTTCCCTGACCCAAGGTCGGAAATTCGTTATTCACAGCCGACCTGTCGATTGTTTTCTCAGTGTTCAAAGAAGATTCGTTGCGCTGGAAGAAGCCCTTGAGCAAGCTTTACGTTTTTTTGGAGTGTCGGCGGTTGAAAAGTTTAACAGAGTTCCGGATTGGAAGGAAGAGCCAGGTTTATCAGCACTTTGAATGGCGCCTCTGAAGTGTCAAGGTATTTTGAAGCTGGATGTGAACATCGGTATAATAAATACACTGCGTCCTAATACTATTCCAACCAAGTTCCAAATGGACCCAAACTAATATTATTTGATTGTTGCGCCCTCTGTCAGATCACTACAATATTGTTCCTTTTCATATGTATCTCCGTATATTGTTATACTGATGCGTTAATATCGGACAAATCTCGTTTGTTTCTTGATTATCCCTACTCGTCCAATTAAAAGCGTGAGTATTGAACATCGTACACGTAATTTAACAACCACTATCGAAAAGAACGTACCCCGCTTCTCAGCATCTTGTCGCTTTTTGCTCTTCCTCCTCTTCCTCCTTTTCTTTGTTTCTTCCTTGTCATCTTTGTAGGGGACATGTATAACT